TTAAGAATAGTATTAAGATTTAAAATAAGACAAAGGCATAGAGTATATCAAAATTTTATAGAAAATTTTTTTAATTAGTACTTCAAATATAGTTTTATAGACAAAATTTTTAAATAATAGAAAAGGTGCAATATATTGCATGTGCAATAAATTATAAAATTCAATAAAATATAAATTTTTATACTAAAAGATTAATGTTTATGAATATTAGCATAATTTATAATAAAAATTAAAATATTCATAATAATTTTAAAAGAAATTTTATTATTACTATATTTCCTTTAAGTCTATAAGAAATTGATAAAATATTATATTCAAAAAAATGTTTACAAATTAATTTTCATTTCCAATCTGATATATCATATATTAATAAAAATGCTTTTGAACAAATATGATTTTTATTAAAAAAATATTTATTAGTTAAATTTTTTTTTGTTTCATATTCAGTAATATCCTCTTTTTTAATAAAAATATTAAGTATATCTAATAATAAGTTTTTTCTTTTTTTTGATAATATTTAAATATTTTTTTACTTTTTTATAACAACTTTATAATCAATAATTTTTTTTGTATATTTTAAAGTTGAGTAACTTTTGAATAAATTAAATCTAAGACAAAAAGCATTAATATCTTATTCTATAAATTCTTTTTATTTTTTATCAAAATTTTTAATAAAAAATTTAGATTTTTTATTAAAAATTTTATAAAAAGAGTCAATTTGTATTTTAAAAAAAAATTTATTATCTATATTATAAAATTGTTCACTAATTATAATATTATTATCATTATTTTTTTCTAAAATTTTAATAAAATTTTTTCTTTATTATAACTTGATTGATAAATATTTTGTAATTTCAAAATATTAGTATTTAAAATAACTAATTCTGAATGAGTTTTAGTAAAAATATTGTTAAATAAAAAATGAAACATTAAAATATAAATTTAATATTAAAATTATAATTTATATATTTAAATAATTTTATCAATTTGAATATTTTGTCAAATATATAAAAAATTTTTATCCAAAATCTTTTATTATCTTCATTAAGATATATATAAGACCTTATTATTAATATTAAAAAAAAAGATTTATATATAATTTTAAATATAATAAATTACTAATTATATATAAACATTAAATAATAATCTTAATTAGTAATATAATAAAATTATTTTAATAACTACTAAACTAATTATAATAAAAACTTTAACTAATTATGACTTAATTATAATATTTAATTTTATTTTAATTTAATTTAAAAAATATAAATAATTAATAATTTATATAAATAAATATTTAATATTACCTAAATCATTTTTATTTATTATAATTTGATAAAATTTAAAAATAAATTTTTAAAAAATATCAATCTGTGTATTTCATATTCTTTAAAGAAATACAAAACTTATAAAAAAAAAGTAAAGAAACATAATAAAAAATAAAAAAAACTAGTCTTTATATCATATTAGTTCTATAAACTAAGATCATTTTATTTTATTTTTTCAATAAAACACAAAATTAATAATAAAAAAAAACTTATTTAAAGAATAGAAATATAACAAGAAATAGAAAAAAAACTGATACTTATATTATGCCAGTTTTATAAACCAAGATCATATCATTTTATATTTTTGATAACACACAAAACTTATAAAAGAAAGAAATGTCAGTTAAAAAATAAAAGTACAACAAAAAAATAGAAAATTAAATTAGTATTTTGATTATATCAGTTCTGCAAATTATTTTATATTTTTAATAAAAATAAATTTTATAAAAGAAAGAAAAGTTAAAAAATAAAAACATAACAAAAAATAGAAAAAGAAACTAGTACTTTTATTATATCAGTTTTGCAAACTATTTCATATTTCCAAAAAACATAAATTTTATAAAAGAAAGAAAAGTTAGTTGAAGAATAGAAACATAACAAAAAAATGAAAAAAAAACTAATATTTATATTATATCAGTTCTGCAAACCAAGATAATGCTATTTTATATTTCTAGTAAAATACAAATTTATATAAAAAAAGTTAGTTAAAGAATAAAAGCAAAATAAAGTAATAGAAAAAAGAAACTAATACTTATATTATATCAGTTTTACAAATCAGGATCACATCATTTTACATTTTTGGTAAAATACAGAATTTATAAAAGAAAGAAAAGTTAGTTAAAGAATAAAAACATAATAAAAAGTAAAAAAAACTAGTACTTTTATTATACCAATTCTATTACCTAAAATCTTGTATTTTATATTTCTTAACAAAATATAAGATTAACAAAAAAAAAAATTAGTTAAAAAATGAAACCACAATAAAGAAATAAAAAAAAAAATTAGTACTTTTATTATACTAGTTTTATAAACCAAGATCTTACTATTTCATATTCCTGATAAAGTACAACACCTATAAAAAAAAGAAAAATTAGTTAAAGAATAGAAATATAATAAAAAATAAAAAAAGAAATTAGTATTTTTATTATATCAGTTTTATAAATCAAGATTGTATCATTTTATATTTCCAGAGAAGTATAAACTCTACAAAAAAAAAAATATTATTTAAAAAATAGAAGTATAATAAAAAAAAAAAAAAAAACTGATACTTATATCATACAAATTTTACAAACCAAGATTATGTTATTTTATATTCTAGATAAAATACAAAACTTATAAAAAAAGAATAGTTAAAAAATTAAAACATAATAAGAAATAGAAAAAGAAACTAGTACTTTTATTATACCAGTTTTATAAATCAAGATTTTATTATTTTATATTCTCTGATAAAACACAAAACTGAAAAAAAATAAAAGATAGTTGAAAAATAAAAATATAACAAAGAAATAGAAAAAAAACTAGTACTTTTATTATACCAGTTCTGTAAGCCAAGATCTTACCATTTCATATTTTTGATAAAATACAATACTTACAAAGAAAGAAAAATTAGTTAAAGAATAAAAGTATAACAAAAAATAAAAAAAAACTAATACTTTTATTATTTCAGTTCTGCAAGCCAAGATTACACTATTTCATATTTTTAATGAAACACAAATCCTATAAAAGAAAGAAAAGTTAGTTAAAAAATAAAAACATAACAAAGAAATAGAAAAAGAAACTGGTACTTATATTATACAAGTTCTGCAAACCAAGATCACACTATTTTATATTTCTAATGAAACATAAAATCTATAAAAGAAAAAAAAATTAGTTAAAGAATAAAAGCATAACAAGAAATAGAAAAAGAAACTGGTACTTTTATTATACTAGTTTTATAAGCCAAAATCATAAAAAAAAAGTTAGTTAAAAAATAAAAATAACAAACAATAAAAAAAAGAAACTGATACTTATACAAATTTAAAATAAAAATTACTATTCTTGATAAAATACAAAAATATAACAAGGAATATGTTTATTATTATTCCAGTTCCATAGCTCATTTGAATTTGAAGATTCCATGATTTGAATATTATGATTGATGTGTTTAATTTATGAGGAAGCAGATGCTCTAGATGGGAATAACATTAAATGAATTTTCAAATTCAAAAAGCCTATTAGCATAATTTAATATTTCCTAGTAAAACATAAATCTAAAAAAGAAAAAAAGGCAATTAAAAGAATGAAAAATAAAGAAATAAAAAAAAGTTATTTATAATATACAAGTTTCAGTTTTCCAGTACTTGCAAAATACAAGAAAAAAAAAAGACAAAGTAAAATATTCAAAAATGTTAAACTAATATCTATTGTTGACATTTTTAAAACAGGTTTATACAGATCTTTTCTATTTTTAGAATGTGGTGTCAAAAGTTTCAACCTCTTATAATATAAGTTTTAGCATTAAGAAAAAAGATTTGTTTTTAAAAAATGTATCCAATTTATTAAAAAATTCTTTTTTAAAAAAATTGCCAAATTCAGTAGTTTCTACTTTTGACAGCCTACATAATCAACAATTTCAACATAATTATGATCAAAACGGATTATAATTATCACGTTATCACACAGAAAGTATGATCCAATTAAATGCTCAGATTCTGTGGCTCCACTTAACTCGCATACATTTCGTATTTTATACTCTGTCATGGTATAGCCACCTGCTACTTTTAACCAATCAAAAATTATAAAATTTGCTTAATCCTGGATCAGTCCAAAAATCAAAACAAATGATTACAATATATAGTGTTAGAGAGAAATCTGGTTAAAGCCATCACATAATAATCATTAAAAACATGACCGAAAACATGACTGGAATCGCAATTTGGATTGGGACCCAAAACCAGTAATCGTGTAACCTGATTTCTTCCTATTATATGCAAGAGAAGCCTCAAGATTCGGAACAAGGCACCCACAATTGTAAAACAGGATCCCACATGTGACAATTATCACTAACCTAAAAAGGAAGAAAGACTTAGTAGAATTATCATGATATGCAATAAAAAAAAGGTGTGATACTTACTTTCACAGGCCTACAACAGAGCCTTTAACCTGCAAAGACTTTTTGGGAGATGTGGCTGTAGCTTTATCAGTGGGACCTATGAAATAGAGAAGGTAATTAAAAGACAGAATTATGAGTCAAAAGGTGGGATTGTACTATTAACAGGAAAGAGAACATTAAGATAGAAAAAGGGAGAATGCTTCTAAGATACTTCCTTGATAATTCATTATAAATAACCCTCCGTTTCAACATTAAGTGGGACATAACCCTCTCTTGCCTTCCTTTTACTTCTGTAATAAAGGTAATTATTAATAATAATAAATAAAACAGTTTTATAAATTATAAAAAGTACTAAGTAAAATAAATGTTTATTTGAAAAGTCCTATATGTACCCAGTAACTTACTCGAGAGCCACCTTAGCCATTGCCAAATTGTATCTGCCTCATCTTGCTTTCAAGTAACGTTACGTAACATCAACAATTCTGGAGCAACAATCCGTCGCAGTTGCTCCATTCTAGGATCCGTCCTGTTTCCCCATGACAATAGTTTAAATACTATTTCATTTTAATCTCATCACTAAAATGGTACTTTCAAGAAGATATCTCAGTGGTAGTAGACTTGTTAAAACTGCGAACAATAAATTCAAATGCCCTGGTTGCCCAAAAATCAACTTTGATAGTTATACAGAAGTTGTTAATCACGTAAAAGAGATACATAAAATAACATTATTGGGATTGATATTTTAACAAGATTCCAGATGAGCTGAAGACTTGTTGTCTAAAGGAGATTCACATAAACTAGAGTCATGCAGAGAACTTGATAGACTTATTAATGAGTTAACACATGCTGAAGAAGAATATTTGCCTTTAACTGAACATGGATTTTCCTGTTAAGCAAATATTTGATCAAAGTCGTCAGAGTATTTTTCAGTTGTAGAAAAATTTTAAGACATTTACTGAACGTCAACTTAGTTTAACCCAAACTATTCTGAATAAAAAAGTCTTGGCAGAAAAAGAAAAAGTAACAATTACAATTAAGAAGTAATATTTTATATTGAAATATTTTTTGCTTGAGATTAAGAGTTTATTTGTTAGTAATTTTTTTTTTTTTTTAGTTTACGCAAAGAGGTTGCAAATCTTAAGTCTGAGCTTATTAAAAATAATAATCAAATCGCATCATTAAATGAAAGGCATAAAAAAATACTTAATGTTTATGAAATTTTATTGAAGAAGCATGCTATTCTTAATAAAGATTACATTTTATTAGAGCAAGAAAATCGGGAATTGGATAAACTGGCAAGTTTATATATTAAGAATATACTGTTCCATGTTAAATATATGTATTATGTGCTAGATCTTTTTATTATTAAATATGTAGAATTTAGAATTATTTAAAGAAATTGAAGAATTAAGCAAAAAAATCAGAATGTTATATGAAGAAATCGAAAAATTAAAGAAAAAAAATGAATTGCTTTCTTGTGTAATTGTTATAGATAATAGTATTTAGGATTTTTTTTCGAATAAAATACTATTAGTTGCTTACACCAATGTCGATTATCGGATACAATTTTCAAATATATGTTTTACATCCCTTATTAGAATTGAACATCTGAATTTTGAGAGAAGTATATTTATTTATTTCATTTATTCAGATATTCACTTTTCATGTTTTATTAATGTTAGAAGAATCAGGATAGACTTTTCAGAGTGGTTACGGTGAAGAAAGCACATTTTAGCTTTTCAGAGTTATTGCAGTGAAGAAAGGCTCCATCACGATTTTATGTGAAATAGAAGCTTATACAGGTTTTCTATAGTTAAGTAGATATGACTAGAAGTATAATTACACTTCTAGTTAACAATGAAGGAAACTCAATTTGTACACAAAAGAAGTTTTATTACTCCTACATAATGGTCAAGATTTAAACGTATAATTATTTTAAAATATTTTAAACCTCTATGATGATATATGAAATTACTCTTATTAAATTACTTAAATCTGAGAGGTTTATGTAAAGTTAAACCATATTTAAGAAATTCCAATATTTTATTTCTTGTTTCGACTTCGAGACACTCTACTTTAACCAATTTTGAAGTAGGAACCAGAAACCTCTTTAGCTTTTATTTGATTGTTTATATAAAACGGTTTAATTATTAATATATTAGTTTGAAAAATTTACTGTTATTAACGCTCTGCAAACTAATAGTTACAATTTTTCATTGTGATGAGGAATTTATTTGATTGCGTTAGTAAAAAAAAAATAATAATAAATCATAGAAGTTTCCTTCAATTTGCTTTACAAAATTTAAATAATTATAAAATGAAGTTATTCGAGGTTGAATAAAAACGCTCTTATGACATGCTGCCTATGACATCTCAATACAACTTTGACCTTCACTATGTTAGTGGTTACATATTATGTATACAGTATTAGAGAAGCGAAATTAAAATTTTATTTATTGAAAAATAAATAAATTAATCGCCGATTAGGTCAATCAGCCAACACAAATCATATGATTTGAAGTTATTGGTTTCTGCATGACCATATTTTTGGTTATGGTATTAATTTACTAGGCAAAAGTGCTTTTTATTATTGTAAAGAGCAATTTTCATGAGCTTATTTTAGCGATAATCTAAGTGATTGATATAACAGATAAAGTAATACAAAACACTTCATATGTAATAATTTTAATTTTTGGTTCAAAGTTATATCTTGATAAATCTTTTATTGCAACTTCCAAGACAAATCAGATCAAAAAAGGTTAAACAAAGATAAACATCAGGAAATATCAGATCGAGTTAACATAAGGAGAAATCAACAAGCTATTGTTTAAATTTCTGAATAAGCTGTGAGCGCGAGTGCCAATCTGAAAAATTTTTTCAACGTTACATTCAAGAAGATAAATGATGACAATTATATAAATCAAAGAATATTTTTGCGGAAATATGATTTTCAACGACGAAACAAGTAAAATGATCACAGAACTGCCAGGAAATTTTCGATAATACATTCAAGAACACCTGCGAATGCGAATGGTAATACTGACTTCAGGATTTACAGATTAGATAGTTATGATAATATGGGCTATGAGAAGCAGACGTGATACTGCATAACAATTTATACACTTAATTACAAATTCGCTATTGTTGTTTGTCCATGCCCACGGGTTAGGCATGTGATCCAATCAATTGTTTCGGCCCGAATTAAACATAATTTAGGCCGAAAAATTAGATTGGGTCGCATATCTAATATGGGTTCCTTATGTAGGAAACTGTACGAGTTACTCATCGTTAGCATAGATTCCCCGATACTCTAAATAGTCTTATTGCAATTGTAGTATCAAAGCCCCAATGTAATCTGTAATATATAAAAACCCATTAATTTCATGTAACTAGAACAAGTAGATAGATAATAAATAAGAATCATAATAAAGACTACCTAACCCAGGGGTCCTAGTGGCAGTAAGATCTTTGGACCATTTTCACCATCACAACATACGTACGTATATCTATCACGTTATAATCTGTTATAACCATATTTAAATTCATTTTTTGAGCTTAGAATCGTCGCACACCGGGAAAATCTTTAAGTATAGCGACAGTGATTAGTGGATCAACGCTATTACTATTTCCTTTTAGGGTTCACTAAAAAGCGGGGTAACTATGCAGATAAATTAATAATCAGCCAATCAAAAAACATAAAATTTTTGAAAAATTAAACAGGTTTTTTTATTTTTTAAAAAATCTTTAACAGAAGCTAGTAAAATAACTACTTTATTAATAAAAAATTTTTACAGACTTGTAGAGTTTAAGTCAAAAAATTTGTTAAATTTGAGCAGATAATTGTCGAGATATCTTAGCACAGCTTCTATTTCAACAACTATCTGCCTAAATTCGAATGAGTATAACTCAACGTTACTAGCTTCGGTTAAAGGTTTAAAAAAAAATCGATAAATTGATTTTGATTGGCTGATTTGATTATCCATTGATCTACACGACCCCTGGATCCGTGATAATTAGCCAATCAAAAGACATCATTTTTAAAATGACTTATCGTGTTAATACTACTCGAAAACGAAAAGAACTTTACATTAAGAAGTTTACAACCAATGATGCATGTAAATAAAAAATTTGCCTCGTTTTTAGGAATATATGAATAACATATAATTGATATTTATTATTAATAAACCCAAGCTCAAATCATTAAAAAATTCAATGTAAATAAATTATTAATGAAACTATCTTCTATTCTTTATTACATTTTAAAAGTAATTAAAATAATTCTATCATATTTTAGGTTACCATGATCTTTATTAAAGCACGGCATAACCCACATAATCCTTAGCCCATATAATTATTAATAAAACAATATTATCGACTACTATTTAACCCAAAAGTACATTTATTGCTCTCATAATATAACTCTATAAATGCAACTATACAGTAAATAGTAGTACAAGCCTATTATTATTATAATATATAGCATATTAGACAGTACACTCAATGTTCCAAGTTTAAAGCTTACATGTAATGTTTCAATCTTCTTTTTTTATTGATCGTTTTTGTCATAGTATTAGTAGTATATAGTAAAAATATTCTGTCCTAAGTGAAGTTCTTGGAAAGGTGGATTATTTTGGATTAATTTTGACAATGAATATCAACGATCGTTTAGAACTTGAATTTGTGATTTTTTGTTAGTGAAACTTTACGTTCCCAAAGTATTTTAAAGTTATAAATAAGTTACCTGGGCAATTGATTTACATCAGCAAATCAGAAGAAAGTCGTCCTATGACCCTTAGATCGTCAATTTAGAGTTACCCCGCTTTTTAGAACCCAAAAGGAAATTATCGTAATAATTAATCAAGTGCATTGTTATAATTTTTGTTGTTTTAGGTTCTTCCGAAACATTATTATTAATTGTGGTAGCATGTATATGGTTACAAGCATTATTCTACCAAAATACATATACTACTAAAGGTAAGCATAATAATGCCTAATACTATTAAAGGTAAGATTAACATGACTATTGCGATACAAAGATGGAAGGTAACAACATAATAATCAAACACATGTGAAAGCAAGGAACGTGGAAACGTGGGATAAACTTTTCAATTATGACAGTTATTTCCTCTACAGGTCATTAACCCGACATCACGAAGGCGTCAATTTAACATTTTATTAGTTGCAAGTTATATTGTTAGTAAATTGTTACACCATGTGATATCGAGTAAATAGCTGTAGAGGAAATGACCGTCAGAAAATGAGACGTAACCATTGCCACACATATTCTCAATAAATTTAATAAGTCCATATCTAAATCATTCTTTTATTGCGTCAAAATGTCAATTGCAAAACGGTCAGAAAAAATCGACAACTCCAATGAAGTTATCTTATTGCATTTAAAAGATAACAAATCACAAAATTTTCCTAATGAAATTATTAAAGAAATGTATTTTCTTTATAATAAAGAAAGATTGAAAGGCAAAAGTTCCTATTTAGTTATTGACGCCTTAGAACAATTTCTAGTAAATAGAAAAAAAAATCCGAATAATATTATCAAATATTGTTTAGATAATCAATTAGATCCTATGGTTCAAATCATTCTGGCAAGTTGTTATCGTCATGGTAAATGGATTGAAAAAGACGAACATAAAGCATTCATTTATTATCAAAAATCTGCGGAGATTGGGAATGCTAGTGGAACATATCATGTTGGATATTGTTATCGAAATGGGATTGGAGTTAAAAAGGATAAAAATAATGCATTCACTTATTATCAAAAATCCGCTGAGATAGGAGACGCTAATGGAATAAATCAAGTTGGATATTGTTATCATCATGGAATTGGAATTGAAAAAGATGAACATAAAGCATTTATTTATTACCAAAAATCAGCAGAGATGGGAGACGCTAGTGGAATATATAATGTTGGATATTGTTATGATGAGGGAATTGGAGTTGAAAAAGATGAACAGAAAGCATTCATTTATTATCAAAAATCAGCAGAGATGGGGGACGCTAATGGAATAAATCAAGTTGGATATTGTTACCATCATGGAATTGGAATTAGGAAGGATGAAAATAAGGCATTCATTTATTATCAAAAGTCTGCAGAGATAGGTCATGTTAAAGGAATAAATAATGTTGGATATTGTTATCTTAATGGAATTGGAATTGAAAAAAATGAGCATAAGGCTTTCATTTATTATCAAAAGTCTGCAGAGATGGGCCATGTCGAAGGAATAAATCATGTCGGATATTGTTATCTTAATGGAATTGGAGTTGAAAAGGATGAACATGAGGCATTCATTTATTATCAAAAATCAGCAGAGATGGGGGACGCTAGTGGAATATATAATGTTGGATATTGCTATGATGAAGGAATTGGAGTTGAAAAGGATGAACATAAGGCATTTATTTATTATCAAAAATCAGCAGAAATAGGGGACGCTAGCGGAATGTATAGTGTCGGATATTGTTATGATGAAGGAATTGGAGTTGAAAAGGATGAAAATAAGGCATTTATTTACTATCAAAAATCAGCAGAAATGGGGGACGCTAGCGGAATGTATAGTGTCGGATATTGTTATGATAAAGGAATTGGAGTTGAAAAGG